CGCCTAGGCCGCAGCCTCATTTTCATCATTTTCGTGAGGAAGTCTCAGGCAAAACGGGTTGGTCCGGATCCGGTTGTGTTGTTACGATCGGTTTTCCCTTGCAAAAAATAAGCTAAAGTGGACATTTCTTGTTCTAACATAACCAAACTTCAAGAATCCCTTGCAAAAAATAAGGTAAAGTGGACATTCGCGCGCGCAAGACGAAATCCTTCCAAAACCTTAGTTTTCGTAGCGATTTTAACATAAAAACATCAAAAAACCAATGGTTTTTCAAAAAAAAATGTCAAAATTTCATCCCGCGCGCTCTTGCGGATTCGTAGGAAACCCAACACTTTTTAAACATTTCTGTCAAACGGGCTTTTGCGAGCAACTTTTTCGAACTTCTGCAACAACGGTTGCGCACCTGCCAGGGCCATCATCCCTGTCAAATAATACCATGCGGGACACATTCGTTTTTTCTTCGCGCGCGCACGCCGTCGTCGTCGGCCGCGGGGCCCTGAATAGTAGCCACGGTCGTCCGCATGCCACGAAGTGAAGTGTCCGAACGTCATAGGGCGGGAAGCTGGGTGTGGGTGGTGGCGAAGAGTCGTTTGGAAATTTGGTAGAGCTTGAACCGGCCCCCCCACAAAGTGGGGGTATTGCCCGCCTCCTATGAAAACCCTGGCACTGGTGAGAACGGTGTGTCCCCACGTGCTAGTAATTGTTGTTGTTGTTGTTGTTGTTGCTGTTGCTGTTGCTGTTGCTGCTGCTGCTGTTGGTGTTGGTGGTGGTGGTGGTGGTGTTCGTCCTCCTCCTTCTCCTCGTCCTCCTCCTCCTCCTCATCCTCGTCTTGGTTGTCGTCCTCCTCTTCTCTCCTCTCTCCTCCTCTCTCCTCCTCTCTCCTCCTCCTCCTCCTCCTCCTCCTCCTCCTCCTCATCTTCCTCCTCCCCCCCTTTTTCCTCCTCCTCATCCTCCTCGTCCTCCTCCTCCTTCCTATGTTCCTCCTTGCTCATCCTCCTCTTCCTCCTCCTACTCCTCCTCCTCCGTCTCCTCCTCCTACTTTTCCTTTTCCTCCTCCTCATCCTTTTCCTCCTCCTCCTCCTCGGTCTCCTCTGCATCCTCCCTCTCCGCCTCCTCCTCCTACTCCCCCGGTAGGCGTATTCGCCGTCGGTCCTTTCATGCGGAGGAGTAAGGAGTATAAGCAGGAATATGTGTGTGGGCGTTCGGGGGGCGCGTGTCCATACGTATCCCTTGTGAACGTTCGGAGAGCTCGTCTATATCATAGTGTATCGAGATGTTGTTGCAAGTTATTGTGCAACTCTTCTCTTCCACGCGCTTCCCGCGCATGTCAGGAAAGGTTTGAAGACACAAGTTCTTCGTTTGAAACATCTTCGTCAAATCGCCCGTGGAGGTCGTATCTGAAGACGTCGTATGTTAAACATAAGCGGCTCGCCCTCTAATGGGGAAGTTGAAATCGCCGCTCTAATCTCCGGACCCTCAAGAATGGCCGTTTGGCCTGAGATATTCTCGGAAAATGGTATGCGACAAGAATTATTTTCAGTCATAAGTTCGGAGCGTTCTCGGATGACCTCCAAGACGGCCCGAGATGCGAACGTATTGTAAAACCCATGGGTGCTCAACACAGTCGGTCAAACATCAGCGTTTCGCTTGAGACATCCCCCTAGAAATGCCTTCGGACGGGTCCTCGAAACCATCATATCATAATGGACATGCCGATGCAGGTTTGGGAATGTAGGGTTTGGCTTCGAAAAGATGGAAGTAGCTATTGTGGTTTCAACGCTCTGGGGCTTCGCCTGAACTCGCGCGGGTAGTATACTTCACCGGGTATCTTTTGTGGACGTTCGGGGTGAGCGCCACCATGCCCGAACTTGCGCGGGTAGTGAGCTCCAGCTGGTATTTCTTGTGGACGTTCGGATTGAGCGCCACGTCTGAACTCGAACTGGTATTGAACTCCATGTGGTACCTTCTTGGACGTTCGGGGTGAGCGCCACGTCTGAACTCGCGCGGGTAGTGAATTCCACTTGGTACCTTTTGTGGACGTTCGGGGTGAGCGCCACGCCCGAACTTGCGCGGGTAGTGAGCTCCATCTGGTATGTTTTGTGGACGTTCGGGGTGAGCGACACGTCTGAACTTACACGGGTAGTGAACTCCATATGGTACCGTTTGTGGACGTTCAGGGTGAGCGCCACGTCTGAATTTGCGCGGGTAGTGATCTCCGCTTGGTACCCCTTGCGGACGTTCGGGAAGAACGTTTACGCGATATGTGGCCTTAATGTTGGTGCACGTTCTTGCCATGCCAAGCGCTTCGATGTCACGCGCTTCCCGCGCATGCCAAGAAATATTTGAAAAACGAGCGCTTCGCCTGAGACATTCTCGCCAAATCGCGAAGTTTGGGATCGTATCTTACGGCGCCGTATGCTAGGCATGGGCGTTGCGCCCGTGACATCCTCGGAACATGGGGATGTTGGAATCGTTGCTCTAGTCCGCGGACCTCCAAAAATAGCCGTTTCGCTTGAGACAGCTTCGAACAATGGAATGCGGCAAGAGATCGTTTAAGGCACCTTTTCGGGGCGCTCTTGGATGACCTCCAAGGTGGCCCAAGAAGCGAGATGATTGCAACACCATGTGTTGTCAACACGTGTGTTAATACGTATGCATTTCGCTCGAGACATACCCAACACACATGCACTCGAACGGGCCCTCGAAACTACCTGGTCTCCTACTCCTCTTCCTCCCCCTCCTCCTCCTCCTCCTCCTCCTCCTTCTCCTTCTCCTTCCCCCCTCCTCCTGTTCTTCCTCATCCTCGTCCTGCTCCTCCTCCTCCTCCTCATCGTCCTCCTCCTCCTCCTTCTCCTCCTCCTCCTCCCCTTCTTCCTCCTCCTGTTTCTCCTCTTCCTCCTCCCCCTCCCCCTACCCTCATCACCCTCCCGCTGCTGCTGCTGCTGCTGCTGCTGCTGCTGCTGCTGCTGCTGCTGCTGCTGCTGCTGCTGCTCGTCCTCCTCCTCCTCTTCTTCCTCCTACTCCCCATCCTCCCCTGATCGTCGGCTTCGCCGTTGTCCTCTTGCGGAGGAGTGAGGAAGATTAGCAGGAATATGTTTGTGAACGTTCGGGGGGGCGCGTGTTCGCACGTATGCCGTGTGTGCTTTCGGAGAGCTCGCATATCTTACAGTTGCTCGCGATGATGCTGCGTTTCTTGCGCAACTCTTTCCTTTCACGCGCTTCCCGTTCATGACAGGATATGTGTTTGAAAAATGGCAGTTTCGCTTGAGACATCCTCATAACATCGGCCCCGGGGGGGGGCTCCGAATCGACGTCGTCTTGGAATCGCTCCCGAAGGGCGTTCGAACTGCCCAATGGTCCAAAAGACGCCCAGGAGGGCCCCAAGAGCGCACCAAGAGGCCCCAAGAGACCCTCAAGAGCGCTCCAGGAGGCACGCAGGCAGCTCAGGAGACCCCAAGACGGCCCAAGACGGGCCAAGATTGCCCCAAGAGATTCCCAAGAGCGCCCCAGGAGGCCCCCAGACTGCCCAAGAAAGCCCCAAGACGGCCCCAGATGGTGCCGGGACGGCCCAAGAAAGCTCCCAAAGAACCCCACGACGCGCCCAGACAGCCTAAGAAGACCCCAGAAGCCCACAAGAGGACCCAAGAGGCCCACAAGAAGCCCCCAACAGGCCCCAAGACAACTCCGCGCGGCGCCAGGAGCCCCCAGGGTAGCCCGATAGGGTCACCAGAACCCTCTCCTGATTCAACGTCCTTCTCCAATTGCCTCTTACTGTCCTCCGTCGTCGTCGTCGTCGTCGTCGTCGTCGTCGTCGTCGTCGTCGTCGTCGTCGTCGTCGTCACCGTCCTCCGCATTCCTCCTCGTACTCGCCCTCGTTCGCTTCGTCCTCTTCCCTGTGTTTCTCTTCCTCGTTGTCCTCATGCTCCTCCTCGCTATCCTCACGGTCTCCACGTCGCCCTCGTCATCGTTTCCTCGTCGCCTTCGTTCCTTTTCTTATTATTAGTAGTCTTCTCATCATTATTCGTCTTCGCCCAGTAAGCCGTTCTTGTCCGATCAGGTTTGGAGCTCCTTCCTGGGGCCTCTTGGGGCTCCCTGGGGCGTCCTGGGACCCCCTGGAGTCTCTGGCGAGCTCCTGGGACTCCCTGGGGGTTCCTGGGGCCTCCTGGAGCCTTCTGGGGTTTCCTGTGGCCCATCAGGGTTTGCTGAGGCTTCTGAGGCTTCGTGGGAGCTCCTGGGATATCCGCGTGGGACATCCGTCTCGGGGATCGCGGAAGGGGAGGGCTCGTTTTTCCGAGGTCAGACGTCAGATTCACGAACAAGTAGTCGCGTTGTTGTTCGTTTCTTCTCCTCACCCATCTCCTCTCTGGGATCGTGCATCATTAGTTTCTTTTTCTGCAGCCTTTTGGTCTTAGGCCCCATTTGTCTCTGATCAGCGGAGATGTTAGCGCCGCCTTGCGTCCCTTGGCTAAATAAAGTCCTTCCGCCCTTCTCGTTTCGATGTTTACTTCGACCGGCCACACCCTCTCCGTCCCTCTCCGCATCCCCATCTACGTCCTCTCCTCCAGCCTCACTCCTTCTTCTCCCATTCATCACCCCTTTTCCTCCTGCTCGCCCCCTTCTCTCCCGTTACTGCGTGTCAGTGTGGCTGTGTTCTTGCATTGTTCCTCCTTCTCCATCGTCCCCCTCCTCGTCTGCCTCCTCCTCCTCCGCCTCTGCCTCCTCCTCCTCCTCCTCCTCCTCCTCCTCCTCCTCCTCCCTCTCCTGGTCCACCCCCTCGTCCTTATCCTCCTCATCCTGCTCTCCAGTATCCTACGTTTCTTCCTTCCTCCTCTTCCTCCTCCTCCTGGCCCCCTCCTCCTTTTTCTCTTCCTGCCGTCCCCCTTCCCCTCCTACTCCTCTCCATTCCTTTCTTGCCTCGCCTGCTCTCGCGGTCGACGGTCCCTTTGGAGGGGAAGGGGTGCGAACCTCGGCGTCTTTGTGCCCCAGGGCGTCCCTTTCAGGCGGCGTAGCACGGGCAAGCTGGGCACGATGCTGGCGCAGGGGCTCATGCGCGATGATGGCACGGGCTCGATGCTGACGCAGGGGCTCACGCGCGATGCGGGCACGGGCATGGCACCGGGCGGGGGCATGATGTTGGCACAGGCACCAGGGCCACGAACACTTTGTTGTTTCATCGGCGGCGAGGCAGAGTTGGCTGCACCAGCGATAGAGCTAAACGGGGGCACCGAGAAGCGAATTGGCCAGCGTGCAAGAGCGGGAAGAGGGCGAAGGCCACGAAAACAGGAGATTGCAAACAGGCCTTCGCATCCGCTCTTTTCGAAGATTCGACGGGCGGATTCGACGGGCGCCTGTTGCATCGTTCTGGGCCTCACGGACAGATCTGGCTAGAAACGTGTAGATAGAGTGCCGAGGTGTCCAGTCGACGTTATTTGCCCTCGCCTCTCTCTCTCTCTCTCTTTCGATTCCTCTTCTGATCTCTTCTTGTGCCCCGCGGTGCCCAAAAACACACGTTCTTGACCGTGTAGGTTCTCGTGTGGGCTGCTCAGTGAGTGTATTTCGGCGAAGGATAGAAATGTCGAGGGTTCCAGTTGCGACGTTTCACTTTGTACTGGTTAAGCACGACGTCGGTTGCCGGGGGAGGAGTCAAGGGGTGCCAAAAGGAGTCCAGGAGGCAGTCGAATAGCAGCCAAGCGGCCTGCCGATCGCGAGAAACGACAGTCGATCGGCAGTCAAACGGCGGTGAAAAGCGACCATGTGTTGTTCCCTTCTCAAGTTGTTCCCTCGTTTGTGGCCCGCTGGCGCTCAGTCGACTCACGTCGCGACCACAAATCCTATCCTTCCCTTTCTCGTTGTGTCGTCCCCTCTTTCTGTGTGCAACGATGAGTGCGGGTCCGCGCGCTAGCGGAATACGTCCTTTGCCTCGTCCTTTTCACCCCGCGTCCTCATCCGTCCTGCTTGCTGCTCCATTCTCCTCTCCCTGCCCCCTCGTGGAGGGGAATGTCTGGATTGCACAAGAACTTCGCCCGAGTGACCTTCTCCGGCTCCTTCCAGGAACCCCCAAGAGCATCTATGGATGTTCGATCCCATCAGAAGCCGCTGAGCAGAGAGCCCTTCCCGGTGGGAGGGCTGGACAGTTCGACTGCCACCGAGGCCTGCTGTCTTCTCGACGGAGCCCAGGTCCCGACGCCGCCGCCTCCTTCTCGTGCCCCTTCGCCTCTCCTTCTCTCCACCCCCTGGTCCCCGTGGTCGTGCACTATCGTACGCTTGCGTTGGGCGGCTTCTTCGCAATCAGCACAGTCGAGTCGAGTCCCTCCCCCTCGCCTTCGCAGGGACTGATGCCGGCGCTGCCAGAGGAGAGGCCCGGCTCGCCCATCCTCGGCTCGCCGAAGCGAGGCTCGCCGAAGGTTGGCTCGCTCGTCGAGGTGGTCGGCACCTACCCGTCGGGCGCGCACGCTATCGTCACCAACGTCAACCGCACGGAGGGCACCTTCTCCTGCTCGCCTTCTTTCTCACTCTCGTCACCCTCCTTCGCTGGTCCTCCAGCCTCCTACGCTGCCGCCTCCTCCTTTCGCCTCCTCACTCCCCACCCTCCTCTCCCTGGTTCTCCGAGGCGTGTGAAATGCGGTATATGAACACACGAACAAGGCGGGAATCGGCTCGCGGCGATCCGCTGAGCAGGCCTCCACACACCTAGGCCAACATTCATCGGTCCGCGTCGCTGTCACTGTCATCGCTGCCTGTCGCCCCCGACTTCCGGCGCAGTCATGATTGCGCTCGAAACTAATGTAGGGGTCTTTGGGCATGTAGAACCCGACAGCCTCTAGCGGGACCTCCCAAGTCTAATCGCCAGTTCCGACTCTCTGGGTCGCCCGCGCCCACAGACGTTATTGCGAAGGCCTTACGGCCGGTGCCGCCGACCCTGAATGGCGACGACGACGACGACGACGACGACGACGACGACGAGCGCTCTTGGGGGCCTCTTGGGGGTAGTTTGTGGGCCTCTTGGGAAGCTCTTAGGGGCCGCTTGGAAGCCTCGTGGTGGCCTCTTGGGGCTTCCTGGGGGTCTCTTGGAGGGGGCCTGGGACGTATGAGGCTTCTTGGACGGTCTTAGAGGCTATCTTGGGCGTTTTCGGCCGATCTTTGGGCGACTCGGGGCCCTCTTGGGCCGTCTCGGGGGCCATCTTGGGCATTCGGACTTCATTTGGAGTGTTTTCGATGTTTCTAGGCCGCCCGAGGAAGAACGAATCTGCCCCCCCACCCCCCCCGGGACCCCCCCCCCTGGGGAAGGGATCAAAGGGAAGGGGCTTCCCTTCGACTCGATTACGACATTGCTAGATTTTTCTCTCGCTCACGAGCTTGAGAAGGAAGCTGCAGGGAAAGGGGACGACGGAGGCGACGACCGACGGAGACGACGACTCGAACAGCCAAGCCCCTCGCACACGCCGACGGGGTCGGCGGATTCAGCAGCTTACCATGCTCCGAACGGTATTGCTGGAGAGCGGCCTTCCGAAACTCCCCATGCGCCCCCCGACTGGGGTCCCTCGAGGGCACACCTGGATGGTTGCACCTGCCCCTTTCAGGACCCTCCTCCTCCTGATCCCCAACAATGGACCCCTCCTCCTGCTCCTGCTCCTGCTCCTCCTCCTCCTCCTCCTCCTCCTCCTCCTCCTCCTCCTCCTCCTCCTGCTCCCCAACAGTGGACCCCGACAGCGGGCCAGCCGCTCGAGCGCCCGGCCGGGCCCGCCGCTCCAGCGCCCAGGGCGCCGCACCCCTGGCAGACGGCCCTGCAAGTCAGCTCCCCGTCGCGGACCAGGAGGAGGAGGAGGAGGAGGAGGAGGAGGAGGAGGAGGAGGAGGAGGAGGTCGAGGACCCTGATCCCCAACAATGGAGATGGATGGCAAGGAAGATGATAGGGTTCTCGAACTCGCATCCGCACAAGCATCGGGCACTGTCCATGACCTCGGCACCCGGGCGACTCGTGACTCATTCCACCATCTCCGGCAGCCATGACGACGGCGCTTACGGGCGCAACAAGGGAACAGCACGGTGCTCCGTTATGGCAGGGGTGTCGTAGGCGACGCAAGCCACAAGGAACGTACACATCTTGCGAAGCAAGAGGGAGGGGGGAGGAGGGAGGAGGAGGGAGGGAGGAGGGAGGAGGGAGGAGAGGAGGGAGGAGGGAGGAGAGGAGAGAGGAGGGAGGACGGAGGAGGGAGGAGGGAGGAGAGGAGGGAGGAGGGAGGAGGGAGGAGGGAGGAGGGAGGAGGGAGGAGGGAGGAGGGAGGAGGGGGAGGAGGAGGGGGAGGAGGAGGGAGGAGGAGAGGGGGGAGGAGAGGGAAGGGGGAGGGAGGCGGGGCCCACGTACTTTCTCTCTCTGCTCTCGAGGCCCCGAGGGGGCCCCCTGAATCTGCGGGGGCCTCGGCTTTCCGCCCTGCTCGAGGCCACTGAACAAGGGCTCCCACGAGGGCGCGAAATTGTTCGCGCTTCGCGGTCCTCGTTCCTCCTCCCCCTCCTCCTCGTCCTCCTTTTATCCCTTTGGGGGGGCGGCGCGAGAGCGCGAAGTTCTTCGCGCTTCGCGGAGCGCGAAGCGCGAAGTTGGGAGCCCTTGTTGAAGCGCGCAGCAGTCGGCCACCGACCCACCCCCAGCAGGTCAGCAACCCAGAGGGCCCACACGAGCTCCAGCCGGTGCCGAATGGTGGATTCGACGTTGGGGTCCTGGAGCACAAGAGCCTCAGACGCACCCGAGCTCAAGGTCCACACCGGTCTGTCCAGGCCCTCCTGGGCCTGGAAGACCCCGATCCGATCTTGCAAGTCCTCCGCCCTCCCACGCCCATAGAACACATGCAACACAAAGACGTAGGTAACCCTGGATATGTTGGTCGTCCAATGCGCGTTTGTTCCTCGACCGGAGTCTCAGTCACGCTCGGGGGCTCTTGATCACCTCCCATATTTTTCTCCTGCGGTGGAAGGAGAGGCGTGCACGATCTCGATTGTCCTTTGTCTGAGCTCCTTGCTCTGTCTGGCGTCCAGCACCCGAAGAGCTGTCGTTTAATCGGCGGTCGGAGGCTTCAAGAAGGAGCACTGAATGATTTGGCCTTCCTGTTCCAGCACAGGAGGAGGAAGAGGAGGAGGAGGAGGAAGAGGAGGAGGAGGAGGAGGAGGAGGAGGGGAAGGAGGAGGAGCAGGGCGGATATGCAGGATGAGGAGGTTACGCGGAGGTCCCCCCGTCCGAGCCTAGCGTGGAATTTCCATCCCCACGCTCGGCAGAGAGAGAGCCAAAGAAGAAACGGATCGTTTGCTGCAGCTCAGGACTGCGCTCGGTCGCATGGATCTTCCACCCCATCTCAGTTTGGGCAAGACAGCCATATTCATAACACACGAACCACCGAGGGACCCTGACCTTGGCAAAGGGGGGAAGGGGCAAATTGCCGTTTCTGAGCTTCCGTTACCAACGCCTTCCCCATTCTTGCATTCTGAGCTCCTCCCGATCCCAGACCCGGAGCTTTCACGCAAGAACGTAAAACATATGCACGTTTCGGACCAGTCGTACCCCCATCGTTTGGCACATTTTGTCCTGCAGGTGATGATCAGGGGTGGATAGAACCCCCAACAGTGACACGTCGATTAGTGAATTGTCCGTTTTCGGTTCTCGAGAGGGCGCCGTGGCCGTTATTTTCCAGGCTTGCGCCCGCCAGGTTTGGGCCTCAGGTCGTTTTCACTAAACCACGTTTTACTACAAGGGGGTCTGTCCATCCCCGAGATGATTAATCCACCCAATACCTCCTTTCGGGAGCTCGGTCCACGGTCTACGCCCCAGGCACGTCGCACTGCCGGTCCAATAGCACAAGGAGTTGCTATATTCTCTGGAGCAGGGAGTGGGGCTCTGCCTCCGTCTGCGTATATTTCATATCACTTCAGGATGCTGATCTCCTCTTCGCTCGGTGATCTGTTCGCTGTCTGTGCAGCTTTGATAATAAACCCAATAATTCGAATAGTTTCTTTGATGCCTCCACAGTGTGCTGCCAACGCCTCATTCTGGTCTCTGACGGCGGGGCAGCATACGAGTGTTAGAAAATGTCCGACCTCGCGACCTTTGAAGTTGCTACGTCTACCAATTGGCTGACGGAATCCCTTTCCGACTTGGCATCCGACTCTCGCCGCTGCTCTTGGATCGGTCCATTCTCCACGGTGGATTACCAGAAGAACGAGCAGCATACCAATCGAAGCCACATGGACATTTTGCTGGGTACCAGGGAGCTTTGTACTGCACTGAGGGCACTGCTATGTCATATTCTCCCTTCTCGGTGTCGCGTGATGGCTTAGCAACGCTTGCCTTGCCTTGTGCACCCTCAGAATGGCTCGATGACTGGCACGCTGGGCGCGCGCGCGCACGCGCCTATGCCAGGAGCTTCCAGAGGGAATCTCGAATGCGGCCACAAAGCGGCGGCGCCGCTTGGGGTCTCGTAAGCAGAAAAGTGCAGAAGATATTTCCTGAGCCCAGACCCTCTCCTCCTCCTCCTCCTCCTCCTCCTCCTCCTCCTCCTCCTCCTCCTCCTCCTCCTCCTCATCCTCCTCATCCTCCTCATCCTCCTCATCCTTCTCCCCCATCCGCCTCCTCTGCCTCCTCATCCCCGACCACGAGGAGGACATCTACAAGGTCCGGCTGATGCACAACGGTTCTCCCACCCGCCGCCTCAGGACAATCCAGAGCAGACATATTCGCCTTCTGTGCCATACAGAGGCAATGCAATAGTCTGCCTGGCAGCACGCTTGGGTGCCATGATATATTATATATATATATATATATATATATATATATATATATATATATACATATATAAATACATCGGAGTAGGCCAGGGGAGGGCCCAGAATTGCTGCATCTTGTTCGTATGGGGGGCCGCGGGGGTCGTGAGGGCTCGAAGAGGGTTCAGAAGGGGCCTTGGACCCCCCCAGGGGCTCCCAAGCTGGCCCAAGAGGTGCCCAAAGCGCCCCAGGTTGTTTGGAATGTGGCTGAAGAGCGCACTGAGATGGCTTGCGGACGGGCCACGAGCGCTCGAAGACAGCCCAAGACTGCGCCTAGACGGCCACAAAGGCATTCAAGACGGTCCAAGAGGCCGCCGAGAAGGCATTCGAAGGGCAAAAATCAAGCATTTCCTATGGAAAAACATCTATTTCTTGAATATTTGCTTTTCAGTCCTACCAGCGGCCGCGACGGCCCCAGAGGCTCCCAAAATGAGCCCAGACGGCCCAAGAGGGCCCCCAGACGGCCTGAAGAAAGCTGCAAGCAGCACAAGAGAGCTCCAACACGGCCCCAGAGAGTACCCAGGAACCCCGAGGGGGGCTACCGAAGGATCCTTACATGGTCGGAGAGGGCCCCAAGACGGGCTCAGGTCCCCATGGCGGGCGAAGAGGGACCCTGAACGGCCGAACTGGGCTCCCAGAGGGTCCACAAAAGGCCTCCCAGGACTCCCTGAAGACGGTCCAGAAGGCCGCTGAGAAGGCTCCCAGGTGCAAAAAACGAGAATCTCCCACGGGAAAAACGTACATTTCTAGGACATTCGCTTCTTTTGTTCCATCGGCGGCCACGTCGGCCCCAAAGCCTCCCAAAATCGGCGCAACAGGGTCCGCGAGGCCCCCAAGAGAGCTCCAAGACAGCCTCAAAGGCAGCCCGAGAGAGTCCCAAGGGTGCCCCAGGGAGCCACCGGAGGATCCCTACATGGTCGGAGAGGGCTCCAGAACGGCCCCAACAAGGCTCAGCTACCCATGACATACCAAGAGGGGATTGGCACAGCCGAAATGGGCTCCCAGACGGGCCACAAAAGACCCAAAAGGACCCCCCCCCACGACTGTCCAAGAGGCCGCTGAGAAGGCTCTCTCAAGGCAAAAATCAGGCATTTCCAATGGAATATATATATATATATATATATGTTTGTGCGAGCTTCGCTTTTCATTTCTACCAGCGGTCGCGACGGCCCAAGAGGTTACCAAAATGCGCCCCAGACGGCCTCAGAGGCCCCAAAGAGGGTTCCAAGATGGGCTGAAGAGAGCGTCAAGCGGCACAGAAGAGCTACAAGACGGCCCAAGAGAGCCCCCAGGAAGCCCGAAGGGGCCACCAGAGGATTCCTACATGGTCGGAGAGGGCCCCAGGAGGGCCCCAAGACGGGCCGAGCTCCCCACGACGAGCCACGAGGGACCCGGAACGGCCGAAATGGGCGCTCAGATGGGCCAAAAAAGGCCCGAAAGGGTTCCAAAGAAAGGCCCGAAGAGCCTCAAAAGATTGCCACAATGCTTCCCAAAAGGCTCCCGGCACGCGTTCCAGTAGGCACCCGTTGACTGGGTGCGCTGAGAAAAGAGGGGGAGGAGGACAAGGAGGAGGAGAAGGAGCAGGAGGAGGAGAAGACGAAGGAGGAGGAGGAGGAGCAGGAGGAGGAGCAGGAGGAGGAGGAGGAGGAGGAGGAGGAGAACGAGGAGGAGGAGGAGGAGCAGGAGTTGGAGGAGGAGGAGGAGGATTTGTTTTGACATGAACTGCAAGGTGACGAAAAAAGGCGGACGCGTGGCACCACCACCAGGCGAGCTCCCACTAATGGGGAGGATCCCCAGTGTTGGCCCTCACGTCCACCTACCTCCACAGCATAAGCTCTATCGGTATGCCCTTGCGTGTCGGATGGATAGCTTTGCAAATCTAATTAAAAGACCAGGTCTGCTTAGCTGTGGGGTTGCTACATTATCTAGCCAGCCCTCTTACATAGCTAATTGTAGCATACGAATGGCACTTCAAGCAAGCTGTAATGGGGGAAGGGGCCCATGGGCAAACAGACAAATCAATTCTCGGCCACAGGGGCAGAATCTTGGCAGCGAGCGCACAGACAGCCTGCGAGACACGGACCCGAAAATCCAACTGCTGAGCTTCTGCCTCCGAAGGCCGCGGATGCAGTGATGCACCGAATTTGGCAGCCTTGTCGGCCTCGTCGTTGCCCGTTCTCAGCCAGCGTTCTCGCTCTGAGATGCCCGCCTCCAGCGGGTCTTCATGGGCCTTAATCTTCGAAACTCCAACCATCCACCTCCCGCCCAGCCGATACAACATCATAAGACCAGCGAAAGGCTTCTTGTAGCTGAGCTGCACTTCGCTAGCCTTGCTGCAGAGGGAGACAACATTCTCACAATCCGAGTAGATGGTGGAGGGGGCTTCAACCTCGAGCCCCGCACGCGCAATGCCAGCAAACTCTGCGCACTGCGAAGTCTGGATAAATGGGGCATGCACGGGCCCTGACAGCACACCGAGCCTGCGCCCCTCCTCAGAGATCAAAGCCAACCCGTAACCCGCTCTGGAAAGTTCGCTGATCACATGCCTGTGGCAACTTCCGTCGACAAAAATGTTGCCCGAAAAGCCGCCACCTTCAGGGGGGGGCTCGTCCCAAACCATCCTGGCCTGGAAATCACTGTCCTCATGGGAGGGCCTAGGGAAAGAGTCCCCAGGATGAGGAAAAACACCTCGAAGAAACAGCGCCTCCTGGACAGGGTCGGGCATATCCGCGTCAGCGGCAGCATTTAAAAATGTCAGACTTCACCAACTCTTCACGGAAAGAGGCGACGCTCGGACAGGCCCACAGATGGTGCTGGACAGTGTCCCCAGGCTGCCCACAGAGCGCACAGACATTGGAGACCTTGTAGCCCGCCTTCTCGGCTCTGTCGTACGTCCAGAGAGCCTCACAGACTGGACTGCGGATAGGCCCTTTTTCTTTGTCGGCGTAGTTCGATGACCTCAAGCGGTTGCGAACCACGTCGTAGCACAGCCTCGGCTCAGGGATACCAGCTTTGCGGGCAGCTTCGCGCTCAAGGCTCCTAAGCGAGGCTGCGTGTAACATCTTTTTAAGCATCGCAGGTGGAACAGCCGTGAGCTGCAGCGATTCTCCGAAGTCGCTGACGCAAGTGAATGGACCATTCATGCTCCAGTTGATCCTCTTCAGGGAAAGCCGCAGCGCGGAGATCGCACCTGAGACCTCACGCCAAGACGGCTCTGGGCGGCCAAACACCACCTCCCAGCCCTCACGCAGCTGGGCCCAATTTAGCGAATATGGGTAAGAGCGAGTCTGTGCTGTCCAAACCTCATTGGCGCAACGCAGGATGGGAGCCGTAGCGCCGAGCCAAACAGAATCATTATGCACAATCATCGCGGCCGTTAACGAACGCCCCCCAGCCCCAGGGCGCAACACCTTACCAGCTTTACGCCTGACCTTCAGAAGTTCGAAACCGGACAGCCCGTTAATTTCCGAATCATGCAGGACCCCAGGGAGGGCCCCAGAGATCCAGATGCGCTGAGTAAATTTCCCCAGACTACACCGCATACGCGTGAGCTTCTTGGTGCATCTCTTCAGGCAGTCGATCCTAACCCTGAACTTGGCCCCACGCCTAGCAGCGCGACGAGGTCTACCTCCAGCGTCGTCAACCCCCAGATTCACCGCGCTGTCGGTAATAGGGCCCGCCAGGGGACCGAGGTACTTGCGCATGGCCATGACAACCTCCTTGCTGGAGCTCACAAGAGCAGCCTTTTCACGGGAAATCTTGCAGCCACAGTCATTCTCGATAGCGGAAAAAAGTTGGGAGCTGGCATTCTTCAGGCCATCGATGATTTGGGAAACAGTACCTATTGCCGAAACTCCGCTGTCATCGATCTACTGCTCGAGGTGAACGCCTTCGGGGAACCTCAGGTTAGTGAAAGCCTCCAGGGCATAAGCTTTCACGGAAGACGTGGCAAAGCTGCATCCTGCGATCGCCCCGTTCAGGGCACAGAACGGCCCCGTGACGAAGCCCGCTAAGCACACACATCGGATTGAACGATGCGCAGATATGGCCAGCCTGAAAACAGGGGCGGGGAAGCCAAACACCTCGCAGTGCTGCTCTGGGCGGACCAGGCTGATTGCTTCGTGGAACTTCGAGACATCCCACAGCAGAGACGCCGAGACCGGACCTCGAGCTATACCGGCCCCCCCCCCCCTAAAGCTCTGTCCCCAAACCACATCGCTTGCTGAAGCAGAAGCCTGGCCAGCGTAGAAACTCCGCCGGTGGTTGAGCTCCCACTCCAGCGCGAAGCATCGGCGGCACCTGCCCCACAAGCGGCAGAGCGAACAGAATAAGCCGATTGGCCTCCAGCCTCCCGATGCCTTCATCAGCAGCGCGAGCTGCACCACTTGGAGTTGGGCTGGAAGGTTCGATATCATTTCCAGGGCACAGACGATGGGACAAACCACCTGCAGGCAGTCGTCGCTCATCCAGCTGTAATGCTTCATATGAAAACCATCCAGCCCACAAGCTGTCCTGAGGGAATACTTCCTGGAGACACCTCGAGCAAAATCCACAAACATGAGGGGCAGGGGCTCCAGGAGTTCGGCATGGCACTGAGGCTGAGGCTGGCTAGACGCCTGCCACAGACCAGACAAGATTTCAGCCTGACCACGGACCAAGGACAGGGAATCCGAGACCACAACACCCGAGGAACTCAACGTGGTGGACGGTTTCCAGCCTGCCGCAGGCCGACGGGCAAGGTGAGCGTTTCTCCCCCCATGTTCAATGTTGTGTCTCAACCAGCGTTTCCAACCCTTGGATCCTTCGCTCCTGGCACGCTGCTGAGCTGCTAGCACCGCGGCGTCCAGCCACACTAAAACATCAGCGAGATGAACACGCTGGTCCTGCATGGGGCTACCTGCAGCGGCTGGGGCAACAGACTGTTCTGACACTAAACTTCGAGACTGCATCGGACAAGCGAGGGGACGAGGAAACCCTTGATCGTCGAAACCTTCCCCTAAACCTTCAGA